GCAAGCCCCTTTGGTCAATCAGTATTTTCTTCACTCCTTTATTTGCAATATAGACAGTGAACACTATATGATCATCTCGGGATCATGAGACGTGACTCTCATGTTAAATTTGTTCGTGACTCTCAAATGACGCTTTCTAGCCAAGCTTGTGCTTCCTTCATCTATAAAACCCTCAACAATGTTGTTGATAACTCTTATGATTTGCCCTTCATCATTCTTGTCAATATGCAAATGATCATGACAAGTTTCCCATCACCTTGAGGATATTCTCACCCTCAATTTCGTTCTTCGTACCGTCGCTATCCTTAGTCGTAATATCCCTTGCAATTGTTCAACCTGTATCCTTGTTCATGCTTGTAAAGTTGATTGAATTTATCTAAATTTCTAGCTCGAATGAGATCCTCTAAAAAATCTCAGACCTTCCTATAACTTTCTATGGTATGACCATAGTTTTAGTATCACACACATTGCTTCGATTAATCTTCATCTTGGCGTGTGGTGGAGGGCTCTGGTAGTTTGACGAACTCTAAGTTGCATGCTTGTCGTAAGACTATCTTAATACTAGCATTAAGAGGAGTAAACCTTCTTTCCTCTCTTTTATCTTCTTTCTTATACCTTTTATCCGAGTTGTATTTATGAGATGAACCTTCCTTTTCTTGGAAGTCCCTCCTCTTCCTTATTTCAATGCCATCTCTTAGTTGTATAAATTTGGAAGCCTGGGTACTGAGCTCCTCCACACACTCTAGTTAATCCATAAATATATTGTCCAAGAAAAAACCTCACCTTAAACAATTTATTAAGGCTTGAATGATAAAATCTAGGGATAGATTGCCCACGGTGAGACTCACTTTGTTGAATCTCTCCATGAATTTTCTCGACGACTCGCCTTTTTTCGACCTTAACCCTTACAAGGTTAAAGAGGTCGGTTACTATGGTCTTGCAGCAGCGAAACTAGCTCAGAACTTCTGATCTAAGGCTTCAAACTATTCTATTGATCTATTGGCAAGGTCATAAAACCATTTAAGGGTCGATCCCCTCAAAGCCATTAGGAAAACCTTACAAAGAAAAACGTCACTTTGCCCAAATATAATTATCTGAGTTAAGAACGAATGTGTGATAACACTTATTTTTTACACACATTTATAGCTTTATTGTATAGTGAAATCACTTTTCATTTATTTTTTTTTCACTTTTGAACTCAATTTTAGTTAGTAGTAATAAATTAGGTTCAATGTACATATTTGCTTTAATTTTACATTTTTAGTTAATATGACTTTTGTTCATTGTTTTGTCCATAAATTTTTTTGTATATATTATTTTTTTTCTATTTCAAGTTGCATTGAATTATACATTTCTAGGGTTATCAAATGGATATATAATTTGATATATTTTGAGTTGTGTTATATTTTCTATGATTTTTAAAAGTTGAGAAAGATTTACTGAAATTTTGTACAAAACTCATGCAAATTTGATTTTCCTTTGTATTAACTTATCTTTTGTATTAGGCCTATGTTTAATTCAGATTTTAGAGCCTTTATATAGACTAAAGGTGCTCTAAACTCATATCAAGAAATTATTTATTTAGTTTTTCAGTTTATGAAGTGTCTTTACATTTTATTATTTTTTTCTCTTTTTTTCATGTTTTACTCTTCCTATTCTTCTTCTTTCTTATCCAAATTGTTCTCAAATTCTTCATCCATGGATAACTAAATTTTGAGGGTTAATTTACAGAATCAAGATCAAACAAGTTGAATTATGTTTAGCACCAATATTTTCTTGCTCTGAGTTTGTTCTTATCTTCTCTAATCTCAGTTTTGCATCTTCTTATATCAATTTGTAATGTTGTTTTTAGAAATTAAATTAGGAATTGTTTGAATCTTGATTTGATAATTAGATACAGATTGGATTGAATGATATTGTGATTTAATTCGTATAATCAATTTAGTTAATTAATTAAATCATTTAATTGTTCAAACTTGAAATTGAAATCTTTAGAGAATTATAATAAAGGATTGTTTGAATGAGAATTTGTTAATTGATCTATCTTTATCTTTTTCATTTCAATTCTATCTTTTTGGTTTTTGTTTTGCTTTATAATTCTTATTTTATATTTTCAAAACCCTAATTTAAATTTTATAAAAAGAATATTAATAATTGAATACATTTGACTCGTGTCCTTGAGAAAAATGACCTAGGTTTGCACTCTATATTACAAAATCTTTAGAATAAACTTAGTATATTTGATTTCATGAATGACATTCAAAACCAATGTGCTCGTCTAGGTTTGTTCCTCCTCCAAGTCTCTCCATGGTGGGAGTCTTCCATACATTGGGTAAGGTCTCTGCTTGTATTTCTGAGATAAATGGACTTCCTAGCTACAATTTTGATTATCCCGAAATATAAGTTTCAGTCTTCTTGGGAGTTGGCTCATGTTCAACCTTGCTCAGTTTCCATCTGACTTCATACCAAATTCTCTTTTTGCATTGTGGTGATTTGAATCACCTTCACTTTATCCTTCTCCTTCAAGTGGAGGTGATTGGTACCATAATTTGAAATTGATGAAGATCTTATTGAACCTTGTGATAGATTGAAGATCTTAATGATTTGATGAAGTCAAAGGCTACTTGGGTTAAAGGTAGAGTGATTAGTGAGTCAGCATTAATATTAATAAGTATAATCATTCTTATCTCTCTGGTACATGAGGATTATTCATTTTGAAATAATTTGGAAATGCCTCTAAAGATTTTAATTTGTTAAAACCTGAATTAATCGATTAATATGATCTTAAAAATTAGATTTAACTAATACACTTTAAGGTTAATCGATTAAAATGAGCTAGGAACATTAATGACAGAGTTTTAACTGATATGTTTTCTAAATAATCGATTAAAACCATTTAAAACATACACTAGAGTTGTTTTAATCGATGCACATTCGAATTAATTAATTATTTTCATTAAAGAAGTATTTGAAAACTTTCTGTTAGTATTTTAACTGATATAAACTTTGAATTAATCGATTAAAATCACTTGAGAAGTATGGACAAATGTTCTGTCAGTATTTTAATCGATGTAACTTCGAATTAATAGATTAAAACCACTTGAAATATTTTGAAAAGTGTTCTATCAGTATTTTAACTAATTTTATTTCGATTTAATCGATTAAAATCACTTAAGAAGTTCTGAAAAATGTTCTACCAGAATTTTAATCGATATAACATCGAATTAATCGATTAAAACAACTTAAGAAAATTTTTGTCAAATTTTTTAATCGATTAAAGCAGGCTTTCATAAGTTAAAATCACTTATGAAGTTTTGAGAAAATGTTTGGCAGAATTATAATTGATTAAAACGTGAATTAATCGATTAAAACAACTTAGAGAATTTTTGTTTAACTGTTTTAATCGATTAAAATGGTGTCGCATCAGTTAAAATAAATCTAGAAAATGATTAAGCATATTTTCACCGATTAAAAGAAGAATTATTCGATTAATCAAGATTTAACAATCGATTAAAAGAAAGTTTTAACCAATTAACTAAATCAGCAGTTGAAAAATAACTCTATATAAACAGGATTGCTACAATGTTTTAAAAATACATCTTTGAGTAATTAATCAAACAATCATTAGAGAAGTTTTTCAAGAAAGAAGTGCACCACTTTTGTGAAGTTTTTCAAAGTTCTTTCTTGAGTCATTTTTACTTTTTTACATGAGAAGAAACTCATTCTGCAAGAGCTGCATAATCTGTGTTTGATTGTTCTAGTTTCTTCTCTTTGTTTCTTTTCAATTCTTTACTGTATTGTGGGTGTCTGGAAGTATTGGGTACTAGTTCTGTAGCTGGAATTTGGCTGCAGGTTGATTCAAGAACTGAAACTTGGGTCTTGGTGAATGTTTGGTGTAAGAACTGAAATTTGGTTCTTAGTGTGGATTGGGTGTTTTATGATTCGGGTTTGTAATCAGAAACATAATCAATCTAGTGGAACTCAACTAAAATTTGGTTGAGAACTAGGTGTAGCCATGTGGTTTGGATGAATAATATAGAATAATATAGAATCTAGGTGCATTTGAGGTTTTAATCATTACTACTAGACAAAGGTAGTAGAAACTACTCTATGTGTGTTCCGGAAAGGAATACGATGGTAAATCAATTATTTATCTAAGTGCATTCAAGTATCACGATTTAGTTCCAATTTGGCATTTATTTTAACATTGAAAGATATTAATCTTATACATTTCGGTTCAATACGGTTAAGTCTTTAAAATTATCTAAGTTTGTTTTTAATTTTAGAATTTTTAGAATAATAATTCATATAAATAATTGTGTATATGAAATTGATTTGGTAACATACAAATATTTGTAATTTAAATTAACTAACTTGTTTATTGTGTTATGTGTGTTTCAAAGGTAAGAATAATACTTCAAATGAAAAAAATATTATTTAAGATAGGAAAATATTTTAGATAATAATAAAAATTCACCTAAAGATATTTTTTGCCATTGAGATTTGTTTTTTTTAGTTGTATTTTAAATAAATGGAAGAAAATTTTTATAAATATTTATTCTCATAATTAGAGATATTGATTTTATAATAATAAATTATTTAAATGGATTTGTTCCCGTCTTATAATAATTAGATTTGGTTCTTTACTAAACCAAGAAAGAAATTACAAAGTCGCTCAACAAAAGAGAATATTGACGAGGGTAAATGTTATAGGTATTCGTGATTTCTTCCATCAATTGTAAAATCTGCTTGGAAAATAAAGAATAGAGTTAGGTACTATTCCATAGTCGTGTTCTATCTTCGAAAACAAGTCAATGGTTTATGGGTTTTCTTTTGTATCATGTGTTCAGTTTTGTAGTCGCTTTCCATGGGCAAAGGGTGCAACACTTCACCCTTCTACACCAAAAAGATAAAATAGAGTCAATTCCAATTCCCAAAGCTTTTTCTATCAGATGAAACAACAACATACTGAAAAATTCCATAAAACCTCGTGAACTCCGATGAAGAAGAACGCGGGCATCGTCATGAGATGTTCCTATTCCCCTGCCACTCCAAGGTCATCATCACCGCCTCCAATGGATCCCAAAATTTGGAGCAAATTGCCCCCTGAAATTCTTGAATACATCCTCTCCTTCCTTCCTCTCAAAACCTTCTTGAATCTCAGATCCACTTGCAAAGGTTTTTGGTCCCTCATATTCTCTCCCTCTTTCATTTCCAAACACTCTTCTATATCTTCTTCTTCTTCTTCACCCTTCTCTTCCTTTCTCTTACTCTCACACCCTCAATTCCACCGCCACTTCCCTCTCTACGATTGCACACTCGGCACGTGGCGCAACATTTCTCTCTCACTCTCTGATTCTTCATTCCACTCTTTCCCTTCTCTCACCACTCTTGTCTCCTCTGGTGGCCTCTTCTGTCTATCTGATTCCCTATCATGCTCCTTGCTAGTGTGCAACCTTCTGGCCAAGTCTTCAAGAAAGATTCAGTACCCAAGTTTCTCTCTTCACTTGGAGCATCTCACTTTTGTCACCACCCCAGCAGGGTACACCATTTTTGTTCTCTGCTCTGAGGCTGCTTCAAACTGTGCCTTTGTTTATGACTCAAATGTTCGAACTTGGAAACGGTTTCACGGTTTTGGTCCGGTTCTAGGTGACCATCATCACCGACAAGGTGTTTTTTATAAAGGGGGTTTGTATTTTGCAACCCCGGAACCGTTTTCTGTGGTGATATTTGATTTGGCGAGTGGAAGGTGGGAGAGACCCGTTCGAGGGTTACCGAGTCAGCTCACTTTTGTTCGATTGGTGAGTGATGGAGAGGGAAAATTGTGTTTGGTTGGTGGGATTGGGAACAATGGAATCTCGAGGAGCATCAAGTTGTGGGAATTGGATGGAGATGGGAATTGGGTGGAAGTGCAAAGTTTGCCTGATCTTATGTGTAAGAAGTTTGTGTCTGTGTGTTACCATAACTATGAACATGTTTATTGCTTTTGGCATGAAGGGATGATCTGCATTTGCTGCTACACGTGGCCAGAGATCTTGTATTACCTGGTTTCTAGGAGGACTTGGCATTGGCTTCCCAGGTGCCCCTCGTTGCCTCTCAAATGTAGTTGTGGTTTCAAGTGGTTTTCTTTTGTTCCAAATCTGTATGCTTCAGTCTGATACATTTTTGTCCTTGTTGTGTTTCCTCTAGTTTTTGGGTTGCTGTGTGCAAGTGATGGGATTGTATTAGTTCGGAGTTGATCCAGTTCTGTTTGTTTTGTATTTCTAATTTCTGTTTATCATAAACTTTGTCCAAAACAATACCCTGCCTGTTCTTAGTCACAAAAGTTGGTTTACATATTATTTTGTAACGTTGCAGAGTCTACTAGAAGAAGTAGAACCAAGAAAAAATTGTTCTTCATTCAAAAATCCAACTTAATTGAAAATCCCATCTCATCAATTTGGATACAACATTCCACCATAATTAGGATTAACAACTTTACGAAATTTGTGAAAAAAACACCTTATCGCCTCTTTTTCTTATGCGTGTGTCGTTTGAGATAACGTAACTGCACAAGCATACTATTATAATGATTAATCTTCTCGTTCCTTTAATACATTTTTGCCGCAAATTGTGGAGGTAATATACTGAAAACAGTTGAGAGTTTATAATATATCAATATTTCGATTAACTAAATAAAAACATTGAGTTTGGGGAAGGAAACAGATTGATCCTTGTTAATTAGAATTGATTACGTCGATGGCGAGATGAACTTGTAAGTAGCAATCTACAACGTCACGATAACTTCCATTGAATGACTTGTTCACAAGCGTGATTTTGTATTATTTTCTTTGTGTAGAGTAGAAAGATACAACAACTAAAACCAATAAACCACGTCATATTCTTTGTTGCGGAAATTTATATTTTACTTCCAGAACATCTGAACTTTATAATTGATTGAAAGTTACTCTCCAGGTTTATAATCAAAACTTCTCCTGGTATTTATAATTAAATCTTATTCGGTTTAGAAAAGATTTTACAAACAAAATAAAACATGAGAACATATTTTAAGTTGCTTGATAACAAAAAAAAAAAAAGTTCACGTAATATAAATATCTTAAAAAATGAAATATAATTTTTTATTCCCTTATAAATTTGATGATTTTGCATACAATTTCAAATAAAAAAATGAATTTCTCATTTTATTCTTGATACAAAAATTAGTTTTCTTTTAGTTTCTACTTTATATATATATATATATATATATATATATATATATATATATATATATATATATATATGTATATGAAGTAATAACTTGTTATAACTGAGTGATACTTCAAAAATTGAATGGATTTACACATGTATATTTTTTTTATCTTCTTTCTCCCATTGGAAAAATTATCCCTACCATTTATATAATTAATTATCCTCAAATTTTTTGAATATTAATACCTACATTTATATATAAAAGACATTCTTTTATAACCGTTCTTTTGGTATAATAGAAAAAAAAATTAAAAGTATTTTAGTTTAAAAAAAATAGTTATTATTGTTTATATATTTTAAAAAATAATAAAGATATGAGAAAGAGAAAAAAAAAGTGAATATATTTAAAAATGATGAAATAAAATAAATTTTTAAAAGAAAATTAATTATAAAAAAAATATGGACATGCAGAAATTTTAACGTCACTAATTATTATAACAAAAAAATTCATATTTTCATATAAATAACAGAATTTTGTATATGTTCATAATTAAATAGGATATTACTGACTTTTTACTTTTTTGTTTTTTAAAAATGGAAGTTTAAAGACTTAAGAAAAGGAAGACACTAAAGTTTCATTCAAGGAGGAGTTGAATCACTCAATGAGTACATGAAGAAGATAGTTTCTAACTTTTGGAATTTAGATGTTATTGTCGTTCTCTTAACACCTTCATAAACTAAAAAATTCTTATGTCTTCGGCACTTATAAAGTGAGACATCAAATTCGTTGTGCAAAAATTCACTTTATGGATATAGGACGAAAGGAAGACCTTGCAACCGAAGGAAAGGATTCTTGCATTTTTGGGAGCTCTTATGCATGGTTCATAACATGGACAGCAGTGAAAGGACTTTCAATTAAGAAGGGAGCTTTTTAAGAGCTAAATAGGAACTTGACATCTCCATTTATTTCTTTATAACATGTGTATACATTGAGTTTTATAAAAAAAAATGATCCTTTAATATTATTATTATTCCAACTTCAAACTTTACATTTTTTTTTCTTTTTACTCATTATTTGTGCTCCAAATGTTTTTGAGGAGCCAATCTGTCATTCATTTGTTGGTATTTCAATATATATTTCTTCCTATGATCTTATGTTCTAGCTTTTTCTTCATATCTGCATATCTTCTTGGTTTAGGTTTCATATATGCATAGCTTGTATGGAGGTAGTTAGTGATTTATATCAATATTCAATTCAAAGATTTTTACTCTTTAGTAGGAAATGTACAAACTCTCTAAACAAGTGCAATGCAAATTCTTATGTAGACGATTTGATTTGTCAACTATACTACATCAATAGATACGTTAGTCAGAATATCAACACCATATTAACTGAGTATAATTAATACGTGTATATTTTTAAATTATTTTTGAAAGAAAAAAATAATTAATGTGATGCAAATTTGTTATTTTCCTTTAGTTACTATTTGTATTTCTTCTTTTTTTTATTCAACATTTCTCACTTGATGGTGAAACCAAAACAAGACGGAGAACGTTGAAAAAAAAAAAAAAAAAAACTCAATATATATCCTCTTTAAATTTCTGCACTAAATAGAAAAAGATCAAACGAAAGAAATAAGGGATGTACACTCTAACCGAAGGAAACGACGTCATGTTGATTAATTTGTTTCCTTTATATAAAAGTGATTTGAAAAAAATGAGTTATCCTATTCAACTGCAATGATCAATTAATTAATGATAACTCTTTTTGTTTAAAAGATGTCAATAAATGATAAGAGGCAAATAATTTTTTTATGAAAGACGAAAATGAGAAAAAAAAACTTCGAAGAAAAAAAATGTAAAATTTACTTTACACTAATAGAAAAAAATAATTATGTATTCGTAATCCTGTTCAATTCCTAACATATAATTTATCCGATATTAATAAACGGTAGAGATTAAATAGAAATATTAGTTTTGTCGATAAAAAAGAAAAAGTATTGAAATCATATATAGAATTCTCAAATTAATGAGAAAAAAATAAAAATATTGTTTTTGTTGAAAATGATGAATTATATAATAGTAATGGGGCCTACCTGCATATTTTATTCTTTCCCGCTACACCCAATCGAACAGTTTTATTTCCCTCTCAACGTGTCTAGAAATTCAACGCGACAAAAGAACCATTAGTCTTCATGACTCAAGGTAACCTAGTCTACTAATACGACTCACAGTTTTGACTAGTAAGATTATTATTGAATTAAAGTTTAGATAATACTTTTATAGATTTAACGTATAATAATAAATTTCAATGCCCCAAATAAAGAAAAAAATGGAAAATTTGTTATTATCAAGAGTAAAAATATTTTGAATTCTCCTCTCTTTAATCCAGATATATGCACAAAATTATTGACTTAGTTCAGTCCTATGTGAATGACAGATTAATTGGAATGCTCTATACAGTTAGAACATAAAATGTTAATCTTAAATTATTTTTTTATTAAGATATTTAAACTAATTTATATTAGAAAATATTACTGATTTGAATCAACTTAAATTATAGAACATGTTAACTTATACCTTTGACTTTGAATATATTTTAAGAAAAAAAAGTATAACTTATAAACATATTCTTTAAAATTAAGTTTTAGATATATTTTTTATCCGTAAATTAAGTTAATGTATACTCTTACATAATAATATTTAAAATTAATTATTATCTCAAATGTAAAATAAACTAATATTTATCAAGTTTAAAAAGAGATAAGCAAATTGAAATTGATATTGTTGACGGGTTCAAAGATGGTATTGTGGTATGTGGAACGTTGAATTCTTTGTTTGAATTTTGTTAGCGTAACCAGCACATTTTATCGAATAAATATAAAATGTTCCAGAACAATTTTATTATTGGTTTTTCTTATATTTATTTTAGTACACTTATCTATTTTTCTAATCCAATTTATTTTATTTTTAAATTTGACTATCTGTGTTGTAATCACTGAAACAATTCAAAATTTTAACGAAACTAGTTCATTAGACGTCCTAGATGAATATCATAAATATGCACATTGGATATCAGCTAGTTAAGAAGGAAAAAAAATGTGGCTAGAACAAACTTGATAACATGCAAATGGGATTTAGGAGAAAAATTAAAAAAAAAATAATGTAAAAGAAATATAACTAAAGGCTAAATTAAAATTCTTATAATGAACTTTTTAAAATCAAAATTGTAACTACTATATCTGTATAGTACGAAGAATTATGATTTTTCACATATATTAATGAAAAAAGTAATAAAGTTGAGTTTGAATCATTATTATTTTGTAGCTTCCCAACATCTTGGGTTCCAGCCGTGTCCCATGCGCGTCGACTACCTAGGTCTCATTTCTCAAGTCCACATTCATGCCAACCATAATAGGAATCTTCTGTTTAAAGATATTCTTTAGTTCTTTAACATCAATCTCCCTAAAATAAATTAAAATCGATTAAGATTATTTTGCACCTCATTTTGCAACTCCTAGACATGAGATTTAAGATTTAAACAAAGTTTCTCTATAATGGTACAATCTTTTAAGAACTTAAATAGGGTTTACAATTGTCTCAATTCTCAATAGCTATTAAAGAATTGCTGCAACAATGTAAATACGTAAGCACCGGTTATAAGTTCCGAATTCCATATGCAATCACAATTAAAAATAATTGCAAGACGCATTAAGGACAGTCCGTATACAACTTGCCCACTGACTTACAATGCTTGCGCAATTGGGTAAATAAACCTAAAGAAGCTCTTATTGATAGGTACTTTACTTGTGTATGAATTGATTTTATAATTAATGAAAAAATGGAATTAAACTATTTTCATACAAGCTCAACACTGTTTTCATACCTAGTAGAACTTATTGCAATAAGTTGTGAAGAGCTTATGGAACATCCATAAACTCTTACACAAGTGTTTAATTCATAAGATAAGTCAAAAGAAATTATAAATTAAGTTTTATTCCAAACATGCTACCTTTTTCTCCTACACATCAGTAGTATGATTCCTTATTCCAAACATGCTACCTTTTTCTCCTAGACATCAGTAGTATGATTCCGAATAGATAATGTGATTGTAAGAGTACGAGACATACCTGAGAAGGTAGCCCAATACCGTTAAGGACCTAACATTTGAAGCAGATGATAAGGTTTTAACAATAGCCTAATGTCGCAATTTATTAGGGGCAATATGCTTAAACAACTTCAATCCGCACAGACCGCTTCAAGAAGTTTGCTATTAGTTTACAATCGTGCCTGGACTATACAAACACAGTAGATTTGCCAGCAAAATAGTCCATAGGGTCAAGGTTAAAGGATGTGTGATTCGTGTGAGATTTATGTCGATGGGAGATGGTGATGCAGCTTACGTTCTTAATTTGTTGTAAATTTAAATTACTAGCTATTACATTTCTCTTACAAAGAATTTAAACATAATCCGTGTCATGTCATGTCATTGGGCTTAGCTAACAAAGGCTGCACTTCAAATATATACAGTTAAGCGTGTGTGAATTATGCAACATACGGAAATGTCAACATCCTCAAGACAAAATTCATAAACTTCAGACAATAATCAGAAATTCAGGATAAATAAATGCTTAATTTTTTTCGGACAACTAGTTTTGGATAGATGCCATAAAAAATTTAGATTCATTCAATGCCTTTCTAATCTCATGCTGTCAAACCAATCAATCATTTGAAGATAATGAGATAAAAAAAATACATCAATAATCTATACCAATTTCCTCTACTACTTTTCTTCCTTTCATTCAATATAATTGAAGGTGCGGCAAGATAACTTGATACATTACCTCAATTTACGGATCCATTACGGCTTGAGCAAGAGCGAGAAACCAAACTTTGGATTCTTGTCCAAATCCTTTGTTTCAAAAGCGCCCGAGATAGTCAAGAATGATTTGCGTGTAAGCTCATGCTGCAATAAAGCCCCAAGATTGCCGTGGTTGTTCAACTTTGCCTTCAAAACTGTCTGAGAATCAACAACATATGAACATCCAACTGTTAACGTGTTTTCATTAGTAGAAAACCTTCTGCTAATCTCTCCCACAACAGCTCCTCCATTAAATCTCTCTAACTGGTGTAAATATGACACCTTCATGGAATCTCCCTTATCACCTCTGCAAATATGAAAATTGTATCATTATGTACCAAAACATAAACTTGCCAACACTGAAACTAATTTGTGTATCTCAACACAACCATGCAAGTAACACTTATTCATGAGCTCTTCCATAGTCAACAATATGATAGAACTGGATCAGATTAGATAGTCAAAGAACAAATCTTTATAGAAGAACCCTAGTTCCAAATCCTGCCGTATAATACCAAGAACTGAAACTATACAAAGAAAACTCAATTTCCTGGAAATTCGAGAGACTTAGGACTCTCCCTAGCTGCAATTCTAACTCTCAAATTGACTAGTCACTCCTCTCAACACCTCTTCCAATTGATAGGCCACATTCCTTATTTATCTAACTACTCCATCACTCAACTAAATCTAATTACTCTACTAACTAACATAACTAGCAATATAAAACACCTTCATGAAAAATAAAAATGTTAGTAATACACTCTCGAACACCTTCTAACAGATTTTTATTATTGGTTGGAATTTTTTTGAAGTTACACAATTGAGTACGTCTCACTTCTATTTAATGTGTCTTCACTCGTGATTTTGTAGTTTCCACTAAATTTTAGCCAGTAACAGATACGAAGGAGGAAACGTTCTAGAAAATCTGTATCTAACACTATCCTCTCTGGAAAAAAAAAACTAAAAATTGTTACAGAAAGAACATCCCAATTTCATTCCAAAAACAAGTAATGATTCTATCAATAATACTTGGCTTTACAAGTATGCGCTCTGTGTACTAATTTAACATCTGACAATTAACAAACACCTCAATTACTTACAAAATTACTGAAGCACTGGAACTTGGCATTTTCAAGCATAGACCAGCATTGTATTTCGTAAATTTGCCAACACTTGTTGAATAGCTCGTTTCTGCTCCAAAGGCAATGCTGGGAGTGCCCATCGTCCCAGAAAAATCAATAGCAGGGGAGCGTGTTAAACCAACACCAAGTGTAAAAGCCACATGATCGTGAAGATACTGAACCTCAAACTACATCAAGACAACATAGTTATCACAAGTCCAAGATAACAGACTTCAATCCAAAAGTCCAATCTAATTATCCCAGGACAATCTTTGTACCTTTCCAGAACTGTAATCAGGCAAACGAATCGAAGCAATAGTTTTCGCAGACGGTACGACATCAGAGACAGTGAATGTCGTCAACACCTAAAGCATAAAAATTCAACTACTAACCGAAGTACAAAACGTTATGTTTTCAAATTTATAAAATGGAAGAAAAAAGAGAGAGAAAGAGAGAGGGAAATACACTCGATTCCGTATCAACTTTGAAATTAACCACTTTGTTCTTATACTTATATTCCGTAGTAACATCACCAGACGATAGTCCTCTGCTCTTCACCAATGTAGATTTCAGGTCCTGAACTTGTGTCAAGTAACAATTTATAATTACTACTTCTCTCAAACAAGATGAAAAATGAATTATCAAAATTAAGGTCTTAATTCAAAAAAACTTAAAAAAGAATAAAATAATAAAATAAAACGAAATGAACTTCTCGTGTAATCTATCTACGGATATGCGTAAATCGATTTTCCCTCAAGTCACTTTACATTTCTCTTATAATACTACGGAATATTTTATTCAAACAAACCTAACACAGCTATGTTTTCTTGAGATGCAAATAAACGACGTGATTAAAATTATCAGAAAATAAATTCGGAACGAAATAGTTATGCAGCAAAAAATGAGATAGAGAAACCAATGGATCGGGAAGTGAAGTGAAAAGGAGAGAGAAGAAAGAAGAAAGTGAACGCACGAGACCGGAGTTGGCGGAGGAGGAGATGGTGAATCTCTGATCGGAGTTGTAATCATTCGTGAGGATATCTGCGAAAGTGAAATCGGAATTTTGTTAGTTACGAACGAAAGCATAAGAAAAGTAAGAATGAATGAGAGAAAATTGAATACCTCTTCCTCTCTTTCCGATATCGGAGAAGACACCAGGTCCTTTGCCTGACATTTTCTCTGCAGCACAGGAACAGCACCAACAACCAAGGGTTTATGTAAACCCTTTTCCATGGACCAAAATAAAAAACTAGAATAATGGAAAAAGATAAAACAGAAAAATGAGGAAAAACAAAAGGCGAAAACAATTATATAACATTTAATTTTTGCTCTCGTTGAGAGTCGAACTCAAGACCTCCCGCTTACTAAACGGGTGCTCTAACCAACTGAGCTACGAGAGCTTGTTGGTTAATTTTGATTGTAATTTAATAATCAATAATATTATTAGGCTTGGTCTTGTATATCAAACCCATGTAAATTAATTACATAAAAAAGCTGATCCTCTCTCACCCTCATATTTTTCATTCTCCATCTCGATACACATTCAAAAATATAATATTGTCTTTATTAATATAATTTTTAGATTTATTTTTCTAAAATATTGTCTTTACTAAAAAAAAATTTAGATTTATCCGGTTAATATAAGTTACATTAATCAATTTAAGGTTTTTTTTTTGGTCAGTGAAAAATTGTTTTAAATTTTTTTTGTTTTTCGAATAACTTGATGGATTGAATTACTACTTTAGAAATGCTTTCTAGTTTAAAAGTATTCATTTTAAAAAATACACATGGGTACATATTTTCCCAATGGACGCGTTATGCTTAGAAAAAATGGTGACAAACTAGTAACAACCGAGTCAAAACCAAATGGCTGAACTAGACATGGAAGAATAAAAATTTTCAACAACTCAATTTCACAATAGACTTGAAAAACTAAACTGCATTTGAAATGTTCTTGATTGGGACCATTGGAAATTTGGAAGAACCCAGTAGCAGGCTTTGTCACTTAGTTACTTTGAATTATTAAGCCCATAATAAGAATCAGGATCATAATCATTTTACAAATTTAATGTTAAATTGTTTAGGGCTTAATAATGATTTACTATCAATGTAAGAAAATTATATTGTTATTTTCTTATAAATTACTTTTAAAAGAAAGAATATAAAAAGGAATAATACTACCGTACACGATCACTTATATTTGATGTCAATAATACAAAATTTAAATTTAATCGTACATTGAAATTAATTTATTTATTTTCTGTCTTTTTTAAAAATCCATCCACATGACTTTTCTGTATCATTTAATTTAAAGACTATTTTTATTATAAAAAAATTAACAGCTTTTTTTAACAACTTTTTGCAAAAAAATGATTTATGTAACTTAGCTTTTGACCATTATTTTTGCCAAAAATGCAATCCATACTATCCGCCATTACTACATACCATGAAATTGAAGTCCATATGTCCAAAAAGTTGTAGTAATACAAACATTTTCAACCAGAGAGATAAATCTAAGAAAATTTATTACACAAAAACTTTATGCTTTAATGAATGTCTCTATCAATGGGTAGGTAGTTGAGAAGCTTAAAGACAATAGGGATGATAATTAAGAAGCACTGCTCCATAACCTCAAAGATCACATTATACCTAGATAACTAAAACACCATTATAATAAACATATCAATCATTTCAAATTTTTTGAAAGTGTTTTGGTGGGTACAATTGCCTCATGGTTGAATTTTGAAACTTTCTTTTCATTTCAATTATTGATTCAACACACATATCCTTTTCACATTATCTCCAAGTCTTATTTAATAGGGTATATCAGGTATTGAGAACCTAAGCCAATGGTAGAATAACTTAGACAATACAAAACACTATGAATCTAGTATTACATATTATTTATTTGTTCATTATTTTTCACTCATTTTTCTTTAACTCTCAATTAACCTTTGACTTGTGCTTAAAAGAAGAAGAATTTTTTTTTTTTTTTTTACACTAGTAGTAGAGTAAAAACACAAATCTACGGCATCTGCCACGGTCAGATTTTATTGATAATTTTGTGATTATTAAATATCCATCATTTTCATAATGAAGAGATTTATTGATATATTGTTTTTATTCTTAGTAGACCATCATTTTCATACACAAGAGAGATTTTATTGGGAATTTTATAATTCTTAATAAAGTCCAATCAACTATAAAAACGTATTTATTTAAAAAATATAAAATAAAATCAACAATGAAATATATTTCAAAAAAGTGTCAAGAATGTATTAGTCAGGTTGCTACCATTGATAACAATGTTTGATCTACTTACAAATTATTTGAATTACAATAACTATATATGGGACATATTTAATTAAGCCCTCATTAGAATAATATATTAATATATATATATATATATATATATATATATATATATATATATATATATATATATATATATATATATATGGCACACTTTTCTCTTTCAACTTTCCTTTCCATATTTTAATATACTATTTTTTGTTTCATTGAGTAGATCTATCATCCTAGATTAATCATGATTAAGTGATTTACATTTAAGCTTGACCAAGAAAAGTTTGCCGTGTAAAATAAAAAGGTAAAACATGTTTATTATTTTAAAAATATGTCAAACTTTGATTTATTTTTTAAAATAAATTGATTTATATACTGCATTTTATATGATTGTGTTCAGAAACATTCAACATCTACATTATTTAAAAATCATGTAATAGATAGTTTATAAATTATATTTTTTTTAAATGTCGATGAATTATATAATAATAAAATTGTAATGAATCATTAATCTAATACAAAAACAGGATACAATTAATCTAATAATATATCTCTTAAATTGTAGAAACACTTTTTAATAGAATAAAGTGATGAAAGTCAAATAATTACCAACTAAATTTGGAAATATTTTGTTTTAAATGTCTAGAGAAAAATATTACTTCTTATTTATTATTATTTTTTTAGTCCTTTGGAAAGATTCAACAGTGAGATCAGAACTCTTGATTTTTTGGGTTATATTTACTTGCTTGAATGATAGAGACAAATATAAATATGGTTGTTTTAAATTGTATAAATTATCATTTGTGGAAAAGTAAGATGAAAGATTTATTGTTTGTGAAGAAATTGCATCTTCCTGTCTTTACTACACAAAAGCCGAATTCTATATCTGATGAAGAATGAGACTTTGAGCACCAATAAGTATACGGTTTTATTCGATAATATGTAGAAAACAATGTTTATAATCACATTGCTAATGAGACGTATGCTAGAACTTTGTAGGAGAAGATTGAGTCCTTGTGTGCTTCTAAGTTAGACAATAATAAATTATATTTTTTGAGTTGTTTGATGAATTTAAGGCAGAGGGAGAGTTCTTCCATTTCATATCACTTAAATGAGTTTTAAGGGCTCCTAGATCAACTGTCAAGAATAAGTATAAATTTTGATGATGAAGTTTTGGGACTCTGACTATTGAATACTCTACCACAGTTTTCGGAGATATTTCAGGTTTCAATTACAAACTCAGCCCCTAATGACATTGTTTCTTTCCAAATGGTAAAAAATGGTACTCTTAATGAAGATATGAGAAGGAAGACACATGGTTCTTCATCTCAGTCTAAGGCGTTTGTCACTGAAAATAGGGGGAGAGGTCAGAAAAAGGAACCGAAGGTGGTAGAGATAAGAGCAGGAGCAAGTTCAAGCCAAGATATAAGAATATGGAGTGTCATTATTGTAATAAACATGGATACATCCAAAAAATACTGTTTTAAGTGGAAAAAGGATAACAAAGGCAAGAAGGGCAAAGAGAAAATGAATGATCATAATGATAATCGTGTTACTACTATTACATGTGATGACCTTGTTTTTCTTTATGATTATGAGCCAGTTAATCTCTTTTAAAATAAACATTGAGGTAATTTTGATGTACGAGTACGGTCGCTTCGTCAAGTCCTCTTTTTAAAATAAACAATGAGGTACAGGTACGATTGTTCGCGTCATCATGTTCGCACCTTCTTCAGTAAGCCAAAAAAAAAAAGACAAAACTCTTTCCAAAAATATAAAAATTTCCAAAACCCTATTCAACAAGCAAACTCTTTTCTACAAAGAACTACATAATCCTGATTCCTTGTTTTGAATGAGAATACGTAGGAGGAGTAAGGTCAATCTTTATCGGGTCCAAAAAACTAAAAAGTATTTTTGTCTATTCTTTTCTTTTTCCCTTTTTTTTCTTTGTTTTCTAATTTTTGGGGAAATAAATATTTTTAAAATGACATTTAATTTTGCACATTCAACTAAAGGTGGTCTTAAGACGAATGTTATAGGGTGTTAATACCTTCTCTACACGTAACCGACTTTCGAACCCAAATCCAATTTTCGTAGACTTTGTCTTATCTTTATGGTTTTCCATAGTTTACCTGAATAAACTATAGTGATAACTCCAAAAATATGATTTTTAAATATTTAAAATTTGATTCGAAGTCTCATCGTAATTTCGGTTGCGACACCCACTTATCACTTTTTTTTTTCTTCTTTAATGGTTTCAGTAATTTCAATACACACTCCTTCTCTCTCCTTTATCTCCTCCACATTTTCTTAATCTTTTCATCTAGTTTGAGAACCATATTATGTTTTGTCATTTTATCTTTAATATTATGGATCAATTTTAAAAAATATCTAATACCATTTTATTTTTAGTTTGGTTTTATTAGATTTTGTTAAGTTATGCTTTCAGAATTTTATTATTTTTATTTATGAGATATCAAAGTTTATGTTAATTAAATAATTATATTTTAAAATATTGATAATTTTAAAGGATTGATAATTAAATTTTTTATTATTTTATACTAATTCAATAAAAATTAAATATATTCTTATAAATTATATATTTTACATTTATTAACATTTAAAAATAACAATATTCTATATAAAAATTAGTAAATATAAGAAATTTTTTATCCCAAATTTTTTTTATAAATATTTATGATAATTTTATTTATATTTTTTCTTTCTACAAGTCACCATAAACAAAATACGTAGAGTTTTATAAATATTAAACAAATTTCAGTTAAGAAATTAAAAGAATAATTTCATTAAAAGATAAAAAAATGTGTTTTTATGATTTTTATGTATATTTATACAAATTTTATTAAAATATTATTTTTCTTGTAAGGTAAAAAATTCTTTTTTATAAGAATGAGTCGAGTAAGCATATTCCGTTAAAGTGAACGACAATACATGAAATGACCACTAGTAAGCTCGAGAGGATGTACCAATGTGAAAGGACTCACACTTGAGAGGGATTGTTGGATAATTCAAGTGTGAGTTAAGTTTCACATTGAGTAAGAATGAGAAAGTTGAGCAACATATAAGGAAGTATGACTCATAACCTAATGCCTTAAGATTTTGGGTTGAAAGTGGTGTTAATCCCTCGAAAGACCTAACACAAACTTTTCTATTCATCACTCGAAGAGGTGGGGTACCAGTAAAAGACATTCTGATGCTTAAGTTAGAAAAGAAAAATACGAGATGCAATAAATGTTAGTATGAAAACCTTAGTACTATTTATATCATTTTGCATGCGGCTTTTTGTTAGAATTATAGGCTGATACAAGAGGGAGTGAATTGATCTTTACAAACCTTTTCGCAATTTACAAATATAGATTAATAATTTCAAATATTAAGAAATCTGATTAAGTATTAAACCAAGAAAACCAAACTGAATTAAATAAAGTTCAAGCTGAATTAAAGAAAGTGATGGAAGAGGAAAAGAAACACCAAGAATTATACTAGTTCACCCAAACCACTGGGTTACATCCAATTCTCAACCAAATTCCAGTTAAGTTCCACTAGATTGAATAGTTTGATTTACAGAATCAAATTATAGACAATCCAACATGCACCAAGAACTAAATTCCAATTCTTGAACCCAACCTGCAACCAAATTCCAGTTACAGAACTAAACCTGCACCAAGAACCAAATTTTAGTTCTTGAATCCTACCTGCAACCAAATTCCAATTGCAGAACCAGTGTCCAATCTTCCAGACACCAAGACAATATAAAATTGAAATAGAAATGAAATAATGAAGAAATTAGAACAATTAAATCCGATTATATAGATGCAGAAATCCTACTGCAGAATGAGTTTCTTCACAAGCAAGAATACAAAAATGCCTCAAGAAAGAACTTCAAAAATTTCTATTGAAAATAGCGTGTTTCTCTCTTAAAAAGATTTATATTGATTGTTTGAATGATTTCTAAAAGATGTGTATATAAAACGTTGAAACAAATCTGTTTATATAGAGATTTTCTAACAAATTGGTTTAATTAAACAGTTAATTCGTGTTTTAATCGATAAAAAAATCTTGTTTCTAACTATTTTAATTGATGAAAATATCATTTAATCGATTAAAATGTTCTATACCACTTTCCAGAAATATTTTAACTAATAAAAACACGGTTTAATCGATTAAAACAGTTTTACAAAAATACTTAAGTGACTTTAATCGATTAATTTGTATTTTAATCAATTAAAATAATGACAAAACATGTTTACACCTATTTTAAGTGGTTTTAATCGATTAAAATGAATATGTGTCGATTAAAACTACGATAGAATATGTTTTCACTTATTTTAAGTGATTTTAATCGATTAATTTGAATATATATCGATTAAAACTGCGACAAAACATGTTTACACTTATTTTAAGTTATTTTAATCGATTATTTCAAAAATACATCAGTTAAAAATGTGTCAGAAGTGTTTTTAGATGATTTTAATCGATTAATCTGTAGATATATCAGTTAAATCTAAAACTTAAGAGCATATTAATCGATTAAAAGGATTTTTAACAGATTAAAAAGTTTAGAGACATTTTTATCTCTTTCAAATGATAGAACCTCATGTTGTAGAAATGGATAGATGATTATACCTATTTATATTGATGTAGACTCACTAAACATTACATCCCTTATCCCATAAATCCTCTGACTTCATCAAATCTTTACTTATTCCATAAATCCTTTGACTTTATCAAATCTTCAAGATTTTCAATCATCGTCACTTTTATTTAATGGGCCATTTTATGATCCATGATAACCTAATTTTAGTTTACCCCTAATTATTTGGCAATGCTTACTCAGTGCCTAATTAAACAATCATTAATTATATGTTTAGGCCTTCTCAACACAATTATCTTTCTAATCTTATAGTTTGAGTGTTGTAAATCACACTAGTTTGCAAAATTCATATAAATTAATTAAAAAATGAGAATTAATAAAAGAATAGAATTAAATATGTTTTTTTGAATCTAAATTATTTTGTGTATATTATAAATTATATGAATATATGTTATTGTTAAAGTCTCATTTATGTAGCAAACATAATTTTATTGTGACCTATACATGTCATTTTATTTTATGTGTCATTTGTTTAGTATTAAATTTTAAAAACATATGAATATTTGGATTTTTCATTTGTTTAACATTAATTTTTTAAAATATATGAATATTTGGATTTATTTAAACATTGTGAATGAAGAACTATATATGAGAAGGTTGATGATGGAGTTCGTGTGATGTTGCCATTTGTTGTGATAGTTTGTTTGTTATGGATTGTGACCTTGTACTCGTTCATTCAAGTCATTCGTTTATATTGGACACATATAATGTATCAATTTTTATGTTCAATATCATTTTCTTTGTTTAAGATAAGTTTTTTCTTCTTTTTTTAAATTTTTGTTAGGGTTTTTATTGTGGAAATCATTATTACTATGGAAGGATAATATTTCTTTTGTTCAAATGACATTTGATTAACAATGTTTGCATCATAATAATATATTTAGGATATCTTATTTTGTTTGGGTTTAATGTTGGAACGTGTTTTACATTATTAAAATCTTTTATTCTAATTATATAAATCAAATTGTAAAAAATGAGTTTCTATACTATTTTCCATCACATAAGGAAGTTTCCTAAAATTGCATTACAAGTGAGGGTACAAACATGTTATCCATAGAGTAGATTATGATAAATGATTATATTTTGAAGCACTTTGGAACAATTAGGGAATTCAAGTGTGACAATGAGGTGAAGATGCAGTAGAAACCTAAAAAAGGAATGATAGTTGAACGTTTAAAACCTGTGTCTAAATCAAGATGCTATAAAATTAACTAACTATGAGCTTATGTTATTAAAACCTGACAAGTTATTGAACTAGTGAAGATAAAATTTTAGGATTTAAAGGTTCAATGGTCCAATTGAATTTAATAAAGTAATATTTTTGTAATATTATAAGTTCATTAGTAAACATATGTTTTTACAAAAGAAAGAAAAATAGTAAAAGTTACAATTATAATCACCATAAGTTATAATGAATATTATAAATATAAAATATGTTAAAGAGTGTGAGATGGATAATAGTTAAAATAAGATGAAAAAATAATAAAATGATTGCTATTGAAAGTTGACTGAAATTAATATGAAAAAAAATGTATTATATCTTTTCTAAAAATAATTATATTTTAAAAAATTGATCTTTTTTTTTATCAAAATTGGCTCGACCCAAAAATCCAATTGATTTTTCTGATTTTATATCAATTTAATTAAAACCCAAATATTTGGAAATAACATGCAAATTTCTAGGCCAATTCCTGGTTGAACTGGTTAGTCTAGTCCTATTTTTAAAATAGTGTTGTGCATCATGTAAAGGAGAAAGTAGAAATTTATGTGCAACATGTTGTTAGTGAAGTTAAGATAATGGAGATCTTTGAACAAATACTTAGGGATGGAATTAAGAGTGTTGAGATTAATAGTGTGAAGGGTGTTGAAACTAATAATGTGAAGGGTGGTGTTGGGACTAATGGTGTAAAGGGTGTTAGGATGGATGGTGTTAAATTTGTTAAGGGTGATGAAGCTTGAAATGAGGATTGTGAGGTTGATGATGAGGTTAGAATTGAGGGTGGTGGTAGGTTGTAATGGAGCCTTATGGTAAAACTATAATATAGGTTGGTGGTGAGGTTATAATGGATGGTGTTAGGTCGTAGTGTGAAGGATGATGAAACTAGATTGAAGAATAATGAAGTTAAAGGTATTGATTTTAGTGATGGTGAAGAAGAGAGAAATGCATATTTGGATTACGTGTTTTGAATGAGGGATAACTTACATAAAAATATTAATGATGTAATAAAAAAATGAAAAAATTTGATAAAGAAAAGAAACACAATGTTCACAATCATGAAATAGATGAAGATTATCATAATAAAAAATTAATGAGTGATATGGGTGATAATGATGATGACTGATAGAGATTTTTAAGGTTTAAATTTAAAGACATGTGCATGACCTTTAAATTCAAGTTGGAAATGACAATTTCTTCAAAGGACTTCAAATAAGAAATTAAGGAATATTGTTGAATGAGAGACAAGTGAAATTTGTGAAAATTTATCATGTTAGAGTTAGGACTATTTGTAATAAAAGGTGTGGATTTCTTATGTTGGTAAGGAAGGTTGATGACATTTATACCTTTAGACTTAAAACACTCAATGTGATGGATTTTTTACTAAAAAATAAATGCAAATGAAGATTGAGTATCCAAAGTTATGATGGACAAATTTAGAAATGCAAGAAATACAACAACTAATTAAATTATTGATAATGTAAAAAGTTCTTTCAAATCACTACTTGAAGGGAATTGAAAGCAAAACATATGGCAAGAAACATACTCAAAGGAGATCGAGAGAAACAATATAACTTACTATTTGATTATATGGTAGAGTGAAGAAAAAATGTTTTCTAGGACAACTTGCAAGATCTAGCTAATTTAATCTAATCAAAATTTACAACCTAAGTTTGCAAGTTTTTATGTGTTTTAATGGTTGTAATAAAGGGTTTTTAGGTGGTTGTATACCTTTTATAGATGTTGATAAGGGTCACTTAAATTTCTTATGGAGACAAGTTGCTAGAGATTTTATGGAGAGATATGAATGATCAATATTTCCTTTATACATTTACAGATGTGACAAATGAGACTAAAGAAATTTGAAGATGTTAAACTAATCGATAGGTTATTATATATGATCAACAAAAGACATAAAATTCTACTCAAAATAATTTCTAAATATTGTTATTGACATGTTGTATTTATTCATAATTCATTTTTTGTAGGATCTTATACTACTTTTTGAGGGGATTTCAAAAGGAATAGAGCATAGGTTCTCCCAAGGCATCTGTATTGCACTATAAAAAAGAAATTTTGGAAAGAAACATTTAAGAGATGTGATGATATCAACTACAAAAGCAACATACTACTAAGAATGGAAGACAGGATTGGAAGAGCTAAAAAATGTAAAAGAGATAGCATATTGATGGTTAACTGTATTTCCCTATTAGTATTGGTATAAACATGCTTTCAATTATCATCCTAAGTGTGATGTTCTGATCAATAATTTAGTAAAGTCCTTCAATAATATAACATGGTTAACTAGATATAAATCTATATTCATAATGATATAGTGCGGATTACATAACATGCTTTCAATTATTATCCTAAGTAGGATGTTCTGATCAATAATTTAATAAAGTCCTTCAATAATATAACATGATTAACTAGATATAAATCTATATTCATAATGATAGAGTGCATATTACATATTTGATGAGTAGATTTACATCTTTGTGGGAGAAAATGTTGAAATATCTTAGTATTGTATGCCAAAATGAAGGAAGAGGCTATATAAAGATTGATAAAGTGGAAATTGATTACCTGGTTTGGACATGATAAGTGTGAAGTTACTCATGATTTAGCATAACAAATTTTGTAGTTGACCAAAAGAATCAGTAAATGTTATTTTTTATTAATTAATTTGCTGGCTAGAGCAACTTAAAGATTATGTTTAAGAATATTACAAAAGGATTGTACATCAAAATTGATATGAATAACATATTTGTCCAATTAATGAATAACAACTATAATTAAAAAAAAATGCACAAGAAATTTTATCTCTAAGCGAGAAAACATTTTCAGGAAGACCTAAAAAGCAAAAAAGAGAAGTTGATGAAAATGTTAGTCATTCAATGTTTAGTAGAGAAAAAAAAAATACAAACATGAAATGTAGTATATGTCTTGAATTTGTAGTAAATGTTTTGCATGTAATAACTATGGTAAATACTTATATTTAGTACAATTAAAATTAAAATATTTGATTTGATTTTCATGCATCATTAATTACTCTATTAACTTTTAATCATTACCATTTTATGTCACATGGATCATTAAATGATTTGTATGTTCGTGTGTGTGAATTTAGGTGTCATCAAGTAAAATATGTAAAAATGGTTCATCTACTATTACATTAAAAGAAAATTTTACAAACTAACTATTTTTTATGATAATTATTAAAAATTTAATGTAGTAACGGTGATAATCAAACAAAATATTTTATCTATATTAAACACAAATATTTTTTTTATAATTATTAAAAAAAACATATTTTACTTTAAAAATAATTGTAATACCCAAGCCGAAAGAAGAGATATGGTTCAGAGAGGAAACAAAAAACAAAACGTACCTGTTAGTAGGAAATCGAGATAAGCGATCGAAAAATGAAGGAAAGAAAAATCGAGAAACATGTGATTGATCGGTAAAGCGAAAAGGTGGATGAGCAACCATTCGATGTCCAATTAGAAGGACATGGCACATAAAATCGAAAGTTAGAGTCGGAATCGGAGAAAATAATAGTCAAAAGTTTATCGTGGAACAAATCAAGAAATTAGAAGTATATGATGCTAAGGTTAAAAGGAATCAAAAGTGATCCAAAGTTCTCGATAAAATCAAAGTTTAAATCGAAAGAAAGGTTAACCCGCATAAATATCAAAATCGTACCCAGATCATAAAGAGAAGGAGTTAAACACGTACATAGGAAACAGTTTCTAAATCGTGGCAGAGGTTGAAGATCATGGGAACGTGGGTGTAGTTTTGACACCACAGAAGAAGAAACTACAACGCGCACGAAGAACGTGATAGCAGTTTTGTTAACTGCTCCTAGAAGGCTTGAATGATGCCCTATAAATAGAGCAGAGGAAGAAGGAATAAGGGGGTGGAAATTGGCAGAGAACAAGATTAGTAGTGAAAAAGTCTACCGGAGAAACGACGAACACCATGAAGCTTCTGGCAATCTGGATTTCCATGCTCATGGAGTACCTTTATCGCTTTCTTTATTTTCCTTGGTAATTTATTTTGATGCAATTTATATTCAGCAATTTTATGTTTCTGTATTTTCGATTCTTCATCATTTCGATTCAATGCAAGTTAAGTTTCCGTGTTTAAATTCCCTGGTCATTTTACATTAATGCAATTTCGATTTCCAGTCATTTATTGCACCTTTGATTTACTGTCCTTTACATTTCCTACAAATTCGATTTCTCGGTACTTACATTGTTGCTGTTTCGATTCCTTGTTTTTTACACTTAAAGCAAATTTAAGATTTTCGTAGTTTACGTTTCTTTGCAGTCTAAGTTTCAGCACTACTTTTCGATTCCATACATTTTCTGCTCTCTTTACTTTGAGTATTCTTAATACAAAACACCAAAAATAGTACCTTTGAAATCGGATGAAATTCGATCCTCATACACATTTCGATTGAAAATTAATTTGCTAGTCTAAGCAAAAAGAACTTACGTGGTAGAATTTTGATTAGGATCAAAATATCTTAGGAGTCGAAATCGATTGAAATTCCACCAGAAACAGTACCATAAAACAAAAATACTATCATGAATTTGAGGGGAAAAAAGTATAATTAACTACACATAACCCGTTATTAAAACTTCTCATTTTTTTTTAATTTCTATTTTAAATAATATTTGTTTGTAATTTATTTTAATATATAAAAGATTGACTTAATTTTGTAGTTCAGTAAATCATAACTTAGCTTCATTAACTATAATTATTTTTAATATTTTATATGAATATAAGAATAAAATATATTTATATTTTATAACAGTATAAAATATAATTTTTTAAAAATAATTCAGATTAAAAATATAATTAATTCTAAAATAATTAATATTATTTTAAAAGATAATATCTAATAAATAAAAACAAAAGGAAAATTATTTTATTAAAATCTCCATCCCTTGGAAATGAGACAATTTTTAATGATTTTTCTCTATTTTAAATTTCTAACCAGTGTAGAGTGAGTAGCATTTGTTTTATTAATTACTTACCAGAAAAAGAACAGGCTTCATCGAGAAACGATGTTGGTACGCACGCACGCGTTTAAAGAAGCAGTCCCGGCACGTGCCTGCAAGATCGGAATTTGGTAAAATCAATCTTCATATGTGCACGTGGCATTCGCAGAGGCCAAGGTTGGTATACACATGTAAAAATGTTATCTCACTTCTACTCCCCCATTCATATATCTTTGCTTTTCGCAACTCCCTTACCAGCCAGCCCCCCTTTCTCTCCTTCACGACAACCTCGCTCCGAACCTTACATCACACCCCTACCCGAACCTCCGCTTCGGATCCTAATCCCTCCCCCATGGGAACCGAGGGTTACACTTACCTGGGACGCAATTTCAGCCAACTCAGCATCGACGATGCTTCCTCTTCCTCCGCCTTCAGCGACTGCAATAGTGACAGATCTGGCGAATTCGCCACCGCTTCTTCGCAAACACGCCGCTTCCTCATCACCTGCGCCACTGAAAACTCCGACGACTTGATCCGTCAACTCGTCGCCGATCTCCACTCTGCCTCCCTCGACGCTCAGAAACAAGCCGCCATGGAAATCCGATTGCTCGCCAAGAACAAGCCAGAGAATCGCCTCACAATCGCCAAAGCCGGTGCAATCAAACCGCTGATTGCTCTCATTTCCTCGCCGGACCTCCAGCTCCAAGAGTACGGCGTTACAGCGATTTTGAATCTCTCGCTCTGCGACGAGAACAAGGAGGTGATTGCCTCCGCCGGCGCTATTAAGCCGTTGGTTCGCGCGCTCAGCACGGGAACCGCGACGGCGAAGGAGAACGCGGCGTGCGCGCTGCTGCGGCTGTCACAGGTGGAGGAGAACAAGGCTGCGATCGGGCGGTCCGGCGCGATTCCTCCGCTGGTGAACCTTCTAGGGAGCGGCGGGTTCCGCGCGAAGAAGGACGCGTCGACGGCGCTGTACTCGCTGTGCACAGTGAAGGAGAACAAGCTGAGGGCGGTGAAGGCGGGGATTATGAAGGTGCTGGTGGAGCTTATGGCGGACTTCGAGTCGAACATGGTGGACAAGTCGGCGTACGTGGTGAGCGTGCTGGTGGCGGTGCCTGAGGCGAGGGCGGCGTTGGTGGAAGAAGGCGGCGTGCCAGTGCTGGTAGAGATTGTTGAGGTTGGAACGCAGAGACAGAAGGAAATCTCCGTGGTTATTCTGTTGCAGGTGTGCGAGGATAGCGTGACGTACCGCACTATGGTGGCTCGCGAAGGTGCGATTCCTCCTTTGGTGGCTTTGTCTCAGTCCGGCACCAATCGCGCGAAGCAAAAGGTATAATTCCATTCACTTCAACGCCATTTCCACTACTCTGCAAACTCGCTCGCTGACGTGGCACTATATTAATTAAATGGTAATTCAAGGACAAAAATGTAAGACTATTAAATATATTATTATTATTATTATTATTATTATTTATTCATCTGTTTTTGGAACATAAACTATGTAAACATAATTTCTCCATTAAAATTAAAAGAAATTGGAAATGTAGTGCCAAGTCAGCCTTATGGCACAGTGGACCTCCACCCACCGTAAAATAGATTGCTTAATGTGTAATTAAATTTGTGTCAGTGTACATCGACTCAGGTATTCCCTTTGCATCGTTTATGCCAATCTTATTGGTTGGGTTTTGGAATATTTTAATTATGATTTTTTTTTTGTTATTGTTGTTGAATTTTTTTATTTAGTTTTCGTTTTGGTGTGTAGGCGGAGAAACTAATTGAGCTTCTTCGGCAACCAAGATCCAGCAACGGCGGTGGTCGTACGACAGAAGTGGCGGCTTAAACTCCGCCAATCATTTATTCACCCTCGCGGAAACGAATACCACATTTAAATTTGTGAATTGGTTAAAACACAGCGTGCGTCCTTCCAAGAGAGACGGAGAGTTAATTAAACTGTGTAAATATCTTCGTAACGGAGAAGCTTTGTAAAGTTTGTGGCACAAATGATACGAGTTTGAGGTTGGTTTGGTTTTTGTGCTAGGCAAAATAATGCACTCTTTCTCAACGCCATTGGTTCTTTTTTTGCTTTTGTTCTCATAATTATTTACGTTTTGTTGTTGTGAACGCGGTGGCTGATATATCGCTCTTGGGTCCTTCTACAGTGTATGTAATTATTGCGGTTATAAATGTGGTATTAGTTTAGGAAAATGACAGTTTCACACCTGTGAAAAATTCTTTTTAAGATTATAATAATAATTTTATTTTTATTTTTATTTTTATTTTTATTTTTATTAAATTATTTTATAAATTATTATATTAAAAAGAGTGAGTTATTTTATAGATTATTATATTAATAAAAATAAATTATTTAAAAGATTATATAATTTTTGGTTATCAAAATATTACCCTTCCTTTATTTAGATTTAAAATTAAAAGGATACCGTCAGATAAGAAAACTAACATATTTCTGAAAAGTAAAGAGTTCTTCTATGCTCAATTGCCAAAAGTAACCAATGTTTGTTATTTTTTTTGTACTTGATTAGGTAGCATTAGAGATAGCATAGAAAAAAAGAGAATAAACAAAATCAAAATGTCTCAATAGAGTAAGTTCTTTTATTTTTGTTGGGTCCAATATTTTATTTTATAAAAAAGTGAATAGATATAACAATTAAAATATTGGAAATTTTCAAAATGAGCGTTTTTCATATTTGCAAAGTGCGTGTACATCTGGAATATGGACGAATCGTAGAAGAATTTTTTTTGTGTGGAATTTTAGATGAATGTTATATTTAAAATTGGGAATAATGGAAGGATGTTTGAAGATGCATTAAAAAAAGGAAAGGAAAGAGAAGGTGTCCACATGGTAAGCGTGGAAGGATGGAACAAAAAATTGAAAATGAAAGTGGGTTAGGAGTTAGGACTTTTGGAGCAGGGAGTCGTAAGCAGTTTTGGTTTGTATGGTTATTATCATTATTTTGTAATATAATATTTGATTTTGATTATTATTTTCATTTTCTTTTATGAAGCAGAAATGAATGGTGGAATAAAACAAAAGTGGCATGGCAATGACACGTGTACTGCATTCCGTTAAAGATTAGCGGTTAGTCGTTCGGTCCCATAATGGATTAGGATGGCTGTCTGGGAGTGTGGGTCCCTCGTTGACCGCTGGTGGACTTCACTCTTTCTCTTCCTTCTTCTTTTTAACATTCATCTATCACTGCAACTCGTATCCGCATATTAGTTTAAATTTCAAAACATTAATAATAATAAAAACATTACCTATTCAATCGATTTAATTGATAATTGATATGCAAATTTATATATACATATATATATAGATATAGATATATAAAGATTAAAATTTTCATTTTTAAAGTTTTTTAAAATATATAATATTTTTTTTATTTCATCCCAATCACAATACCTTTAAATAATATTTATTAGATTAAATATATTTTTTTCTATAAATTATTTTACAATTTTGACTTTTGTTCCTATTTTAAAATTTAGATATATTTTGGTATTATTTTGCTGTTGCAGATTTTTAATCTCTTCATTATTCTTTTCTTGACATTCTTCCATGTGTCTCTTAAAGCTATTGACAATGGCAGAGGGATCCATCCCAGTGATTAAATTTGACATTGTTTGCCTTCAAGTTTTAAAACCATGAAATAGGTGAGGTCATGAGGAACGTTTTACCAAGTCTCACGTTGAGCGTTAAATATTCTTATTGAATTATGAACGTTGGGAAGAACATATAGAAAGTTGATCATTAAGTTGTCAATGAATATATTCTTCTCATTAAAGAGACGAACATAGACTTACTTGATAGTCAAATCAATATTGAAAATATAATAAGAGAGTTACGAAAACAATGAGTAAATTCTAAGATGAGATTTACTTTCCACTCATATCTCCTTGTATAAGATCAATATAATAAGGATAAACTGATAATATAATAATAAATAATAATCAATTCAAAATAATGTATAAATATATTTTAATAAATATTAACTAACAAAAATTGTCAAATATAAAATATTAATAAATATTTGTATGTAATATAATTATTATTTTTAATATAAAAGTTTTTGAAACTTTTTACCCATTGGTCTTTCTGCTCTAAATTTATTTTCATATAAGTTATAACTTATTTTGATTAACACGTGGGTAACCAGGGTGATCATGTGCAGTTTGGTTTGTTTTTCAATAAACAACCACCTCGTACCAATCATAAGATTTACATGCAACTCGGTTTGGTTTGATTTTATTTTTTGAAAAATTCAAACCAAACCAGACCAATAGTTTGCTGATTTGGATTGTTTTTTTTATTATTATTATTAAAAAATTGTTAAATATATTATAATAAAATAAGTGTTTAATAAATAAATATATTATAAAAATATAATATATAATTAATTTTGATATGCATATTTTCAATTTGTTTTCATATTCACATTCAATTTAAAAAATATAACACATGTTCTAAATTACAAGAAAGTAATTGACCCATTCACATAAAATTCAATCTTATGTTTTAATTTATAATTTTGGTTTGAATTTACTTTTGACTAATTTGAACCGAATCAATCATTTTTAAAAGTTTTCAATACAAAAATAGATTTGGATTAATTTTTATTATTTTTATTAGTTTTCAATTTTGGTTTTGGATCGCTTTTGAACCTAACTATATTTATATAGATAATTTTACATAAATAATTAAAATGAAATGTTAATTATTTAATTATTAAAATGAATAATTAAGCTAATGATATAATTTAATAATATTTTATTATACACGGTGATAATTAGTTTTTACTGCTTTTATCTTTTAGAGACTTTTATTGAAAATATTTATTAAATTAAAACCATTCTCAACTATACAAATTGCTAAAATGTATTAAACTTTATATCTTTGAATTCATCCTTTAGATTTCTACTAAAAATTAAAATAAAAAAAATACACAACATATAATAGATCCATAATAAATACGATAGATTAAGAGTCGTATACTACTAACTAGCAAAGGAGGTTGAAGTTCTCATGTTTTAATGATTATTAACCATATGTTTTATTAGTATCTATTTTAAAAATTAGTAAAATGGAAAATTTTGAATTTTGGTGATGATATGCTTAGTCTTCTTTATTTCATATTTTTATTATTTTTCTAATGAAAGAATATTTAAACTTTCTCGTCATTTTTTTCTTTCCTTCCTTTTCTACAAAGGAAAGTTCTTTCAATAAATATGTATTTCTTCTTCATTTTTTTTCCCTTAAATGAAGTGCTAATAGAGTTTTCCGATCTAGCACGTAAATTTGAAGGACAAATAGTTCTATATATGTTCAATACTAATATGAGTAAACAACTTCTTATGCATGTTTTTCTTTTTCCAAGTTGATGTCGTATTGAAATTTCATCCATTTTTTTGCATCAACAAGGTTTCTTTCTCGATCTAACCTTTCTAACTAGGGCAAATCACTATTGATATCACCATTCAGTATAAGAATGATTTGATATCACATTATTCTTAGGGGTGATAATGGTATATTCTTTTGTAAAAGGCATGTTCATTTTAATAATATATATATATATATATATATATATATATATATATATATATAATTGACTATATGGAAATAATAATATTCATATTTATTATTTTTTAACCAAATATTTCATCTATTTTTATAGTTTTTCAAAGATAATTATTAACGTTTTTTTAATACACAAATTCTTTTTATAGTTTTAATTGTAAAAATAGTTGTATGTATTTTCTTCCTATTTTTAGAAAAAATATATTTAAATACATGAATGATTCTAGTATGCACATGCTAGTCACATTTACACACAATCACTTAAAATATAATAATTTTATTAACTTTTCTTCCACCTCACTTACTATTTCTTTTTTTCTTGCAATTTTCTTTCTCTATAATTACTTTTTCACAAATAACCTAAAAAGTAAAACATTTTTTTATATCACACTTCCAAATAATTTAATATATTCATAAGTTTATTTTGAAATATAATTTAGTTTATATTTAAATAAAATAGATGTTTAAAATAAAATAAATTCTTTATTATATTTTAAAATATTTTAAACTAAGATAAATATTTTAAAAATTATAAATAATTTATTTGGATAACTAGATAATATTTTTTTGTAATAAACGTTTTAAAATTTAATATTTTTAATAAATTATTAATTTTCAACTTTTTTTTCATATTTAATTATAGGTCGATGTTTATCTAATCATCTATTTTTCAGTTTAACAAATAAAACTATTTTTCACTTTAATCAATAAATTATTGGGTCCATATTTTCATAATTTTTAGAATCTTTATATTAATTTAAAATATTTAAATAAAATACGTATTTTATTTAAATCTACACTAAATTATATTATTATTTAAAATAAATATTTTAGATATTTTAAATTATTTTGAAGTATAATTTTTTTCAAATTTTTAATATTTTAGATAATATGTGAAGAGTAAATTATATTATTATTCAAAATAATTTTTTAAATATATTTTAAATTATTTATAAAAAATTAATCAGTTTTTTTTTAAATAACTTATGAGAAAATATTTAAAGAGAGAAAAATGAAAGAAGAAAAAAAGATGAAGTGTAGGTGAAAGAAAATTGTAACAATGGAAGAAAGAAAAAAAAAACTAGGTAAAATAGAATGAGTTATTTAAAATTGTGTATAAATATGACGATATATATATATATATATATATATATATATATATATATATATATATATATATATATATATATATATATATATATATATATTTTTTTTTTTTTTTTTTTTTTTTAGTTTCTTGTATAATG